ATGAGCATGTCCCCGGCAAGAGTAGAATCCTGCTTGGCACATTCACGTGCATGGCCTGCGACATGTGCGCTACATTTTGCTGCGCCTTAACGACTTCCTACTTGTTACGGCAATTGAGATACGTGTCGTCGTGAGGTTGTTTCCCCCTTCAGATGTAGCCACGCAGCGGCGCACCAGCGCAGAGCCGACGCAGAGGGCGGCGCACAGGAAGGCCATTCGCTCACACGACTGGGCGGTGGCGTCCTCTCTCGTGTACTGCTAGAGTACGCCCTATGTTTGCGAGACGTTTTAGTGAACTTAAGTTGATTAATGTGATTACTTTTTGACTATTTCTGTTCATTGTATTATTTATACCTCGTTCATTTTTAAGCTCGGTTTGAGCATTGCTAGCTTTGTTACTGTCTGTATAGAGAGTTTTAACTGTGAGCGTAATCACGCCAATGAGATGGATGGATGGACGACAAGCGGGGTCCCTCAAGTGCTCTGCAGTTGAAACCTTTCAGAAATAATCCTATGCTTTTTCTTGTCTCACAGGCTCAGCGTAGCCAGTTCTCTGTTCTTTTCAGCAATTAAACTTGCTTTTTTAGTTAGAGACCACGGTACAGCGAAGCGCAGTCGAAGAATAAACTTCAAGTCACATATCTCTGCTTAACGAATTTCGCATTTTCACGTGTGGTTTAACGCGGAAACATACACGTGTGTACGAACTAAAAAAAGAAGATGAAATAAAATAAGAGAGGAACAGCCGCCATGGCTGTTACGCCACCGCGGCTCTTGAGAAGACGGGAGACAGGAACACCGCGGTGGTTGCATGGATGGATGGATGTATCCGACAAATTGATTTCACTTTGCACTGGCACCTTGATAGTGCCCTTTAGATCGGGCGGCGGCTCACGCCACCTAGCCATAAAGTTAAGTACTATATCTATGTGTTGCAGGATTGAATTTCACTGACACCTTGATTGTAGCCACCAATCAGTTAGCCTCCTCTTGGTTATTTCTACCCGCTTAAAGTCTATTTTGCCTTCACTGTCCCTAAACCGCAATTCATTGAAAAATTCCGCGTTATTATCCTGGGCTATAGGGTGGAGCCCTTAACAGAACATTATTAAATGTTCAGCCGTTTCCTCCTGCTCTCCACACGCACTACATACCTTGTCTGTGCCTTCGTATTTGGCTCGGTACGTCTTGGTCCGCAATACTCCCGTTCTGGCCTCAAATAGCAGAGAACTACACCGAGAATCATCGTAGATCTTTTTTTTTTTGCAATTTTCTGCTTGAAGGTAAGGTAGGTTTTCAGTGACAATTTCGTGAGCATTCCAATATTCCGCATGCCCTTCTACTTTTCCTTCACCTTCTTCTTAACTGATGTTTCGTTTCGACTTGGTGTTCTGCTGTTTTCTAAATACTTGCTTTACGATTTTTGAGTTCGCTTCCTCCATTCAGTGTCAACTTTCTGCATGTACAAGTAGCTGAAAACTTTCCTAACCCTACACTCCGCTCCCATTTTTCTCAATCGCTCCTCAAATTCTATCTTGCTGCTAGCTTCCGTGCACTCAAACGATGTCCATCCCATGTCCCCCTGTACCCCCTGATTTGGAACATTCCCGTGTGCTCTCAAAAGACGTCTACCTATACTACGCTGTTTAATTTCCAATCTTGCTTGAACCTCTGATTCCATGCACAAGACCGCATTGCCGAACATCAAACCTGGGACCAAGTCACCTTTCCAAATTCCTCTCACAACATCATACCTTTTGTCGTTACACAGTGCCCTACTTTTCATTAGAGCTGCATTCCAGTCACCCTTAGTCATTGCGTATCTTTCGCGCTCCCTTAGGTACGCAGCCCCGTTATTTATCCATACGCCCAAATATTTGCATTATCTGTGATTGCTATACGAGGCGACACCTTGAGGCAGTTTTGGTTTTGGGCTCTGGCGTGGTGTGTTGGAACATGCGTGGCCTATTATTTATATATATATATATATATATATATATATATATATATATATATATATATATATATATATATATATATATATATATATATATATATATATATATATATATATATATATATATATATATATATATATATATGTGTGTGTGTATTAGTAAAGCTGACCACGTGAGAGCCTGAAACTGCCTCAAGGTGTCAGGACTGCAGAGCAAATACCTAACAATCAAACACCGGCTGCTCGCGCGCTCTACAGAGACGTGGCCGCGGCTGTGCATGCTTACAAGTAATAAAGTTCAAATGTAAAAGCAAAGTCCAGAAATGTACCTGTCTCGACCTGCCCCTGAAGCTTGGCACGCGGGAATGTCTTGGTACAAAGCACCTTACAGAGTATAAAAAAACATTTCATTTTAAATGAAGCGATTGCATTTTTTGATTCTAGTATGTAGCAATCGTGTGAGGTTTGCACATGACGGCATTTACAGCAGGACGTTTACCAGTTTCGCCACAAACATTTCCCGCCTCGCCCTGCCCTGGTGGTCTAGTGGCTGAGGCACTCGGCTGCTGACCCGCAGGTCACGGGATTGAATCGCGGCTGCAGCGGCTGCATTTCCTATGGAGGTGGGATGGTGTAGGCCCATGTGCTCAGATTTTGGTGCACGTTAAATAACCCCAGGTAGTCGAAATTTCCGGAGCCCTCCACTACGGCGTCTCTCATAATGATATAGTAGTTTTGGGACGTTAAACCTCCCATATAAATCAAATAAATCAATTTCCCTCCTGTCTGAGCTTGCGTTGTTTTGAATACCAATATATGTCAGACTCTGCCCAGGCGGCGCTGCGAAATGCATGCCACTAGCGCTCCCATCGACGAGCTGGCCATAATTGGGTAGTGCGCAGCGAGCCAGCCGCAAGCCAACGCGCATAAGCCCTTCTCTTTCGTTGGTCTTGAGGCGCGCTTTCCTGAAAATTGAGGACCTGGCAGGCTTCTTCCTTCAATCTAACCTCGCTTGAGAAATGTAGGAAGCTCATCAAAACGAAATGCGGGTAAAACGCAAAGGATGTGTCAGTTATTTGGGCGTACCGCAACTGGCAAATTAAGTGCAAGCAAGCATCGCATGACCAGGCAAGCACTCCGCCATGCGTTCTGTAACGTCTAAATGCATTAAACATGGCCATTCGCATGATATGCAAAAGCGATGAAGTGCATACACGAGCAATATATTGTACGATCTGTATTACGAATCTCGCTTTATTCGGCACAAATAGCCCTGGCGATTTTCGACTTTGCAGTTGCATTCTCCTTCAATATCTCCCTTTTTGTGCATTGAACTGCTTTATTACGCATGCTAGAATGTTCTGCTGACGGTTGTCATCTGTTTGTATATACCGCGAATGGGCATACATGCGTGTCCACTTTCTCGGTGTACAACAAAAAGCAAAACCGAGGCCTCAGAAATAGCTCCGACAATCGCGGAGACCAACGGTAAGAAAAAAAAATGATTGTGGCCGCGATCATTTTGCGATTTACCTATATGACGTAGTACGTGTTCGCACTTTTTACTTGAAGCCGGAACTTAGAGCCTTCAAAGCCCTGAGTGGGTAATGCTGTGCAACTTCACATTATCGGTGGTTGCGGCGTGTGCGATGTTTATCGCATGCGTCACCTGCCTACTGCTGTTAAGCTTCATAATCAAAGTTACAACGGTTCTCCGTCAAAACTACTCAAAACAATAACAGGAGACCTACATTATATATCACACTTTTTTGTGCGAACGGCTGTAGAGAACGCGAGCAATTTGCTTACACAACACGTTCGCAACGGCCCGTACCCAGCGCTCTCGCCATTCTGCTTCGCGAGAGCTGCGGAAATAAGTAAACTGAAGTCATTTACGTGATTAGCAATTCGCAGCGCAACAGTAGCGTCGACTGGCGTCTTTATTCGTAGAGCGCGGAGCTGTTTCGTCTGCTCTTGTTTTCACCCTCCTTCTGGCAAGTGAACCAGCAAGCACTTCACGGCAGTTCGGTGACGCGTACGACTAGCGGAGGGAAATTCATAGTTTTTTTAAGTGTTTAATCCGCTAATACACCTAACATTTAGCACAATCGTTGTTTTGTACGCTGTAGTTGCACCTGGTTACGCAGAAAACTGTGCAAGAGAGTTGGGCTTTGCACTACCCAAAAATGCGTCGACAGGTAGCGCTGCGTGTCCGCAAAACTCCAGAGTCTGGCATTCATGGGCATGGGGAAACAATAGAACATCTTTTTAGAAGAAAAAACATAGAAAACAGCAAGGAGAGAAAAATGTGCAGAGTGCAAATGTTTGCCTGCGAAAACTTCTATGCGCTTCCGGGGCCTGCACTCAAAGTTTACCAAATGATGCTTCAGTGACTGATTAATTGAGCCTGTCTAGGAGGATTAAACGTGTTTCACAGAGCGAACTCCCTCGCGTAACGTTTTCCCTCTATCCGAGTCCCAAAGGGTCCCAAAAAGGTGCGAGGTAGCATCGCATTGTTGACGTTTTAAGCATTCACCAAATGTATCGCACCGTTTTTCGGCCTGCGAGCCACATCGATACTTCTCCGTTGTTGCTACTTTTCATAACTTTCTTACTCTGTTCTTGCATACTGTAAAACGGCAAAGCAATGGGTTCGACGTGTATATTTAAATTGCATCATGCATAACTCTTACGCGCAGCCTTTTTTTCCTGTTCCCTGTGCTTGCGTATACACGTACATACTAATTTCTGAGTAAACAGACGAACACAGAGGGGTGTTCGCATCTGTAAAGCACTTTACTACTTTAGTGTGCGACATTGGGGAGGATAGGTATTACGCGCCACTAGAGGTCGAATAAAGCTCACATTATAGAGTCATCAGACGCTATCAACAGCGGTTGGACGTCTCTTTGGTGTGCTTGCGTCCGATTTACACGCTCGACCACTTTCTTCCGTTACTTTGCCAGGTGATGCCCATCCGGCATCCAAAACACTTCGCAAAAAGTAATTACGACGCAGCCCCAAAATAAATGAAAGCACGTACTTTGGATAGCCGTTCCCGGGTGTCGGGCAGTACAGCTGGTTGAGCCTTCGAATGCAGGGATACCCTTTGAGGATTTCTGCTTTCAGGTCCAAAGCACACAAGACCAGTAGAAGTGCCAATGTCAGCTGAAAAGAGCCAGTTATGGTATTGAATCAGGACAAAGCAGTATAGAGTTACTTGCTAGGCGTACAGAATATAGACGCGCGCAACACACCTGCTTTTCCGCGTGATGACAGCAGAGACTAGACGGCAGTACTAAGCCCTAAAAGGACCTCAAAGTTGGTTAAAAAGAAGTAGGCCGAAAGAGTGCAATAACAAGCGAAATGGCAAAATGTTTTAAATATTTTGTGGCAAAAAAAAAGTCAAGGTTGAAACCTAATGTCATGATTCATGATGATGATTATAGAACTTTATTTGTAAAGTTCAGCAAAGTTTGAATCGGGTTGGGCCTCAGCCCCGGCCTATACGTCTGCCCTTGGGCTCGGTTGGCTTATTCGGCTCGATGGACGGCCCACAGTTGTACTGAAACAGCCCCTTTTACCCAGTGAGCATCTGCCGCGATGTGCCGTACCGGAATTTGCCACGCTACGTAAATACCGTATTTTAAAACTATGTTACACGTGTTTCTGTCTGGAATAAAAGCCCCCCCCCCCTTTTGTTTGTTTTTTACCTGACAGTGCAGCACTTGCGAAGCTCTTGTTTTTCACGCCTCGAATCAGCATCCTTCACATATTTTGTTGAATTTATACGTAAAGTTTCTGCAGTGTCGTGAGATATTCTCTACTCCTAAAGCAGAATGTTTACTGTAGATCAATTTCTAGCTGAATTCTTTCAGCATCGCAGCAGTTCTTCCCACGCAAGCGGGCGCCTGATACCTCAATAACGGGAACCAGTATTCTAATATGTGTGCCTGAAAGCATAAGATCTGATCACGTTATGCGGTATGATAGATAAATGTTGCTTCCTTTATGAATACAGAAATAAGTTACAAATTGAGTGCTGCGTCCGAGTGACTGTTTCGAGGTAAATTAATAACAACACAGTGAGCACGCCAAAATTTAAAGCTGAGCCTGAAAGACGTCGTTCACAGGTGAGCGGCACAGCTGTTACTGTCCTTGGGGCTCGTAGCATGTGTCACGACAGTACGCCATCGTTGTACGTATACCATTTCGCTAAGGCATGATCGCTTGAGCACCCCGCCGCGGTGGTCTAGTGGCTAAGGTGCTCGGCTGCTGACCCACAGGTCGCGGTATCGAATCCCGGCTGCGTCGGCTGCATTTCTGATGGAGGCGGAAATGTTGTAGGCCCGTATGCCCAGATTTGGGTGCACGTTAAAGAACCTCAGGCGGCCGAAATTTTGGAGCCCTCCACTATATATACGGCGTCTCTCATAATCATACGGTGCTTTTGGGACGTTAAACCCCTCACATCATCATCATCATAATCGCTTGAGCGCGATGTCCTACACATAAAGTGGAGAGGCTGTTTTCAAGTTAACAGCAGTTAATAAGCCTAAAAAAACACACTAAAACCAAAATTGACTCGCATGATGACTCACACACAAAAAAATGGTGCCTCTTGTAAAAAAATGTCATTTGGTTAAGAATATAGTGAATCAAGTTACTTTCTTTTCCATAATTCTAAGAGGTACAGCCCAAAGTAAGGCAGAAAAACAAGTCCATGGTTGCCGTCGGATTGCAAAAGGAGCCAACACTCAGGCTGACGTTTGCCAAGGTAGCCATGCCGTTTTATTTTTTTTTTCATGTGATTTTTAGCCAAGTGGAACATATATAGGCTTTTTGTGAATATATATTCATTATCAATAAACAGTGAATAATAGAATTTTAAATGGGAACAACACAGAAAGAGTGCATAACTTTTTTCTTCCTCTTGCGTCGTTCCAAGCCAAAGGTAAGTTGTAAATTAATAAATAAATTGTAGCAAACAAATTCAATAGGCCTGCATTCACTTCATGTAGAATTAACTTTCCTACAAAGTACCGAGTTCTTTTGGAAAATTACAATTGACAGGTGGTTGCCGCAAATGAAAATTGATTACTAGAGTTGCCCATATTACCAGTCCGTCTTGAAATAATGAAACGCAGTTGAGACTGAGCAGTGCAGCTTCATTCTGCGGCAGATCTTTGTTTTGTCAGGCTCACACGCATAGGTCAGCAGAAGTTGTGGAGCTCACGCAGACTCACTCATTAAATATACATTGCACTTATGCCTCACTCGGACTCACACTCACCAACATTTTTCTGAGCTGGACTCACTCACACTTACCAAAATTTCCTTCACCCGGACTCACTCAGACTTACACTCACGGCTCAGTTTGAGTTTCAGTGAGTCGACTAATCAGACCGTTAGACTAGAATCATCTTGTTCGACCTTAGTGTCATTGATACTATCTCCCGTAATCGGTGCTCTTCATGGCACCTTTTGATATAGTTTACCTTGCGATGCGAGTTATGAGAGGTTGAAAACCGTAAAACATTTTT